GTACTTTTCCTGAAGAATCAGATAGCTGAATTCACTAGCCACAAAGAACATACAGAACAAGTGCACATGATTGTTGCATGACAGAGGGCAGGTCAAATAATTGCTTCTTTTCCTTTGGCATCCACTATAAAAATGCACAGTTGATGCTTGCCCCAGCTTTTAAAGCCTTAACTCTTTTGTTCTAATTCCAGCAAACATATATACTCAGGTACTCAACCTGCTTGGTGTGGGCACCTGCGAGAATTTATAAAAGAATCCTATTTGGCAAGAGGTTACATTCTACCTTTTACATGATGAGTAATAACAAACAAATGAATAGAACTCTATAGTCTACAAATTCTTTTTCCAAAGTCATTTGTGTGGTGTGTGTGTGTGTGTGCGCGCGCGCGTGCGCACGCGTGCGTGCTGTTCCTGGGGTTCAAAACTCAGGACGTGGGCTCTGTTTCTTAGCTTTCTTATTCAAGTCTGGTTTTCTACCAATTAAGCTATAGTTCCACTTCTGGCTTTTTGGTGGTTAATTGGAAATAAGAGTCTCATAGCCTTTCCTTCCCTGTCTGGCTTCAAATCAGGATCTTGGCATCCTGAGTAGCTAGGATTTTGGCAGGAGGCACCGGTGCCCCAGTGTTTGTGTTTTTTGTTTAATTCATTTTGATTTGGTTTTATTGAGAAAGATTCTCACTGTGTTGCCCAGGATGACATTTGAACTCCCTGTGTAGCTTAGGCTGGCCTCAAACTTGTGATCTTCCTGTCTCTCTGCCTCTTAAGTACTCTCATTAGAGGTATAAGCTGTCATACCTGCCTCCCCCAGCCATTGGTTAAAGCAGAATTACAAGGAAGGAATTGCTTTCAGTTCCATTTGATAGATGAGGAAATTTTGTTCTTTGTCCAGTTAAATGGCAGTTGCATGTTTTATCTTGGTGGTCCTTTCTGTTTTACACGGTTAATGTTGTGACAACTTCTGAGGAGGGCAGAAAAAGAGAGTATGCCAGGACAATGAAAGCAGAGGGGAACATTGGTTAAGAAGTTATTTAAGGGGCTGGGAAGGTGGCTCAGCGGTAGAATGCTTGCCTTGCATGCATGAGGCCCTGGGTTCGATTCCTTAGCACCACATAAACAGAAAAGGCCAGAAGTAGCACTATGGCTCAACTGGTAGAGCATTATCCTTGAGCTGAAGAACTCAGTGACAGTGCCCAGGCCCAGAGTTCAAGCCCCATAACAGACAAAAAAAATAGTCATTTATGGAACAGAAACGACTTTGTAGTACTTGGAGGTGAGTTAGTGGCTCCTCTTGCCCCATTGTGACCAAATCAGAGACAAAGTGAAACTGAAAAAAACATCTGAGAGGTTTTTCCTTTTTTTTTTTTTGCCAGTCCTGGAGCTTGAACTCAAGGCCCAGATACCATCCCTGAGTTTCTTTTGCTCAAGGCTAGTGCTTTACCACTTGAGCCACAGCTTCATTTCTGGTGTTTTTAGTAATTTATTGGAGATGAGAATCTTGTGAACTTTCCTGCCTGGGCTGGCTTTGAGCAGTGATTTTCAGATCTTAGCCTCCTGATTCTCTAGGATTGCAGGCGTGAGCCACCAGTGCCTGGCGAGAGTTGTGTTTTTAAAAGACCAGGAACGGGACCTTGTTTTGTCCCCTACTTATTTAGAAATTGCAACTGTACTATAACAGTAAAGACCACCAGTAAAACCTACATTCACCTTAAGTAGGCTTTTCTTCCACTCTCACCGTTGTATCTCAATTTCCAAATTCCTTTACTGAAAGCGAACATTGCTATCAATTTCTTATGTACAGGTCCAGGGCAGTTCAGTGTAAATGTAAACATATGTATAACTGTCTATTCTCTAACTTCCAAGGGCATATGCAATTCTGTGACAGTGAGTATTCCCATTTTAAAAGCATACTTGTAGTTACTCATTGATAAAAATTTGCCCCACTCTGTAGCTTCCTGTCCTTAGCCCAAATTACTTATTTTCCTGAATTTCCTTATCTTTAAAATAGGGCTGGGGATTGGGAAGGTGATTAATACCACTTTATGAGGTTGTTCTCAGGGTCAGATAAGTCTCAAATACTGCATAAAAACTGCATAGCAGTGGCTGGGAAGGTGGCTCAGTGGTACAGTGCTTGCCTTGCATGCATGAGGCCCTGGGTTCGATTCCTTAGCACCACATAAGCAGAAAAGGCTGGAAGTGGCTCTGTGGCTCAGGTGGTAGAGCACTTGCCTTCAGCTGAAGAGCTCAGGGACAGCGTCCAGCCCCAGAGCCAGGCACCATGACTGACAAAAAACAAAAGATCAACAAAAACTGCATAGCAATCTGGTATAGTAAGCCACAAAAGCTCAAATGTTGGCTCTTCCTGTATTTCTAAAACACACCTGTGTATGCACGCGTGCATGCGCGTGTGCGCGCGCACACACACACACAGACATTTACACAGGAAAGCTGTTAAAATAACGTATTAGTAAGCAAAGCTAAATGGAGAAAGTTCATTACAATATTTGTAACATTAAAAACAATGAGAAAAATTTACATTTGTATTAAAGGGCCTAGTTAGATGTAGTGGATTAGGATTAGCTCTCACACAGAAGAAAGTATTTGTAAAAATGGACTTGGAAGGTTTCATGCATTAGAAAAGGCAACATGCTGAATTGTATGCTTAGAATCCCGTTTGTTATATACACACCAAATCCTTAAATATCTTTACGCTGGGCGCTGGTGGCTCGTGCTTGTAATCCTAGCATCCCAGAAGGCTGAGATCTAAGCATTGTGGTTTGAAGCGACATGAGAAGGACCTTAATGCAATTATTTTTTCCAGTTGACCAGCAAAATACCAGAAGGAGGAGGCTGAGATCCAAGGATCTTAGTTCAAAGCCAGCCTGAGCAGGAGATACTTACCTCGGATTACTCACGAAAACCCTGGAAGTAGAGCTATGGCTCAAGTGGTAGAGTGCTCACCTTGAAAAAGTGTAGGGACAGTTAGAAAGAATAAAATAATGTCATTTGCAGGGAAATGGATGGAACTAAAATAAATCTGGGTAAGGTAAGCCAAGCTCAGCGAGACAAATGGCACATGTTTTGTCTGATTTAGACCTAAAATACACTGGGATATGATAAATTATACAGGATTCTAGATACTCACACACAGTGAGACCAAAAGAGGATACTCTTAGGAGAGAAACACAAAGGCACAATGCCTAAGTGTCTCTTCATATTTATATAAAATAATATGCATACTGAAATGAACTCCAAGATATGAAAATAAGAGACCTCTTTTGTTTAGTTTTTAGTTTTTGATGATTCTGTCTTCTTTACTGTATATAGGGTGTATTCACATGTATATCTTCAGGTGGGTGGAGGGAGAATACAGAACTCCAGGGAAAAAGGGTGAAAAGGTGTGTAGTACTGGAGCTCACTGGACACTGATGAGCATGAACTATACAACTCGTGGGTGGAGACGGGAGGGAGGGACTAGGAGAGAATGAGGGAACAGAAGACACTGTACAAAAGGAAATGTACTCATTACCTGACTCCTGTAATTGTAATCCCTCTGTACATCACCTCATAAATTAATAATAATAAAAAAGAAAAAGTGCAGTGATGACACCTAGGAAAACCCAGAAGTAGAGCTGTGACTCAAGTGGTAAGCACTAGCCTTGAACAAAAATGCTAAGGGAAAGTTTGTAGGCCCTGAGTTCGAGACCCAGGATGGATACACACACACACACACGCACACACGCACGCACACAAACTTGCCTAGAGAAAGCAATTGTTGATATTTGTTGAGAATGTGTTTTTTTGTATTTGCACTCACATTATTTTTCCCTTGTTTATTGTTCTTTCTAATTTTTCAAGCATTATATTGAATGAGTGCAAGGTAATGAGTACATTTCCTATCAAGCATTGTTGCCTCCTTCTGTTTTTCCCCTACCTTCCCTTCCCTCCCACCTCCATAACTACCCTCCCACCCCTCAACCTCCCAACCCCCGTGAATGTTTTATAAGCCAATACTGTTCTAAGTACTTGATCTGCTCTAACTCAAGTCATTTACTCAAGGACCTCCTGAGGTAGGTCTCAGATCTAAGGCTGTTGTGTATGTGGCAAAGCCAAGACTCAAACTACAGCATTGAATCTGTGAGGCTGACAAGAAGCAGTTAGCAGTGGTTACTTCATAGGGAGGGCAGCTGAGGCGGTGTGATGAAGATGAGGCTGGCCGCAGGCCAGCTGGGACTGCACAGCAGGTGCAAGTAGGAGGCAGAAGGAAGATTTTTGCTTTTATGCAGCTAGATCTTTTATAATTAGAAAAGGCAATTTTTAAGTGTTACAACATTTTTATAATTTTGACTTGGGGAGATTAAAGTAATAGGTTGCAGCCATGGAAATTGTAAGCATGGGTCCTTGTGATTAGCTTTATATTAATGTTTTCATGGGCATTTTCAGCTACTTAGGAATCAAGTCTTATAACTGAAATCACTACCTAGAATATTCATTTTCACTAGAATATTAATTTTATTTTTTTCTTAGCAGAGATTAATTTTACAAAGTAGTGGCTTTCATTGTGACAAATGCACATAATATACTTTGATCATTTGACTCCCTCTGTTACCCAAAGGGTATAAGTGTGTGTGTGTGTGTGTGTGTGTGCGCGCGCGCGCGCACACGCGCACGCGTGCAGCATGCCTGCATGCCAGTCCTGGGGCTTGAACTCTGGGCCTGGGCGCTGTCCCTCAGCTCTTCAGCTCAAGGTGAGCGCTCTACCACTTGAACCACAGTGCCACTTCAGTTTTCTCACAGACTTTCCTGCATGGGCTGACTTTGAACTGTGATCCTCAGATCTCAGCCTACTGAGCAGCTAGGGTTACAGGTGTGAGCCACCAGCACCTGGCTTTGGCTCCTCCCTTGTATGGACAATTTTGTTCTAAGGAAAACCTCTGTCCTAAGGAACAAGATTTCATTTTAAGATTGGTCTCTATAAAGCTTTTATTCATTTTTTTAAACAGCTGATTTAGATGAAAGTTTTAATGAACATGAACTGGAGCCTTCATCCCCAAAAAGTAAAAAGAAAAGCCGTAAAGGAAGACCAAGAAAAACTAATTTTAAAGGCGTGTCAGAAGATACCAGGTCCACATCTTCCCATGGAACAGACGAAATGGAAAGTAGCTCCTATGTAAGTAGAAAGCAGGTGGATTTTTACTTTTTGCTGAAATGTGAATATTTCATTTAAACTGTGTCTATAAGTAAGGCTTACCGTTTGAGATGTTAAAAAGCTTGAAGTACTCAACAATTTAAGCATCTTTTTTCCCTTTGGCATTTACAGAGAGACAGGTCTCCCCACAGAAGCAGTCCTAGTGACACTAGGCCTAAATGTGGCTTTTGTCATGTAGGGGAGGAAGAAAATGAAGCCAGAGGAAAATTGCATATATTTAATGCCAAGAAGGCAGCTGCACATTATAAGTGCATGGTAAGTATGGTTCTTTTCATGTGCTTTTAAGCCTGTTTCTGAAAACCATTCAGCTAGTAATCAAGTACAGTAGCTCTCCTTCAGCATTAATGCTTTACTCATGAATAGCAATATTCTAGAGTCTCAAATCTTAATAAACTAGAGACGTTCAAAGGACAGCATTTATATTTTTGTAGGTTTTCAAGTAATACTAATTACAGTTACCATATTGCAAAGGATCTTTAATTAGCTTATAATAATAATAATTATAATAGGACCATAATTTATTATAACACAATATACAATATATTGATATAAGTACTATATTATAATAATTAACATTATGATACATTCTACATCATATAGTTTGTATGGGATAATATAACTGTAATTCTAGTTAATTTACAACTAAAAAATTTTATCTTCATAAGTGTCTATAAAGATGTTTTAAGAGCCAGGCACTGGTGGCTCACGCCTATAATCCTAGCTACTCAGGAGGCTGAGATCTGAGGATGGTGGTTCCAAGCCACCCCAGGCAGGAAGTTCAAGAGACTTTATCTCTAATTAAGCACCAAAAAAGTTAGAAGGAGAGCTGTGGTGAAAGTGGTAGAGAGAAAAAAAAGCTGAAGAGTAGCACCCAGGCCCTGAATTAAAACCTTATGACATGCACACACAAAAAATATGGTTGTTTTTTTTTTTATTTTGGATAGTTGTGGGGCTTGAACTCTGGGCCTGGGCGCTGTCCCTGAGCTCTTCAGCTCAAGGCTAGCACTCTACTACTTGAGCCACAGTACTACCTGAAGAATAGCACCCAGGCCCTGAGTTCAAGCCCTAGGACCTGCCCATACAAAGAAGATATTTTAAGACCTCTAGTATACCCTAATAAATCAATTACTATTGCTGTAATTAGAGCACTATATTACAGTTATTTATGAGCCTAGCTTCCCTAATATCCTCCTAAATTCCTGTAATACAAAAATAAGATACAGATATGTTTTTTATTTTTGTTTCTGTAGATCCAGGCCTGATTTTCAGAATGCACAAATGTTTTTTAACTTAAATTATATTAAATTAATCATCCCATTTGTGCTAGGTTTTCAAAATTATAGTATTTTTATAAGGGGTGTGTGTGTGTGTGTGTGTGTGTGTGTGTGTGTGTGTGTGTGTGTGTGTGTGTGTGTGTGTG